CCAGAAGTGGTGAATGCTCCAACACTGGAAGTTTTTAAGAAGAGGCTGGACAGCCGTTTGTCTGAAATGGTGTAGGGTTCCTGCCTGGGCAGGGGGTTGGACTCGATGACCTCCAAGGTCCCTTCCAACTTTATTATTATTATTATTATTATTATTATTATTATTATTATTATTATTATTATTATTATTATTATTATTAAGGCAAACCCCCAACTGTTTAAAGTCACTCTCCCCAACAGCTGCAAGTCCAGATGTTGGCGTGCGTCTTAAGAGGCACCAGGTGATGAACAACGATGCTAAATTATCCAAACTCACTTTCCAAAGGAGAATGTCTATGGAGATTCTCAGTTATCCAGGTCATGGTTGTCCCAAAGATGCAACGGGACTGTCTCATCCAAGGAGCTGCTTCAGTTCTGACTGGATGGTGGGTAACACCCTTCAAATGGGGCGGGAGTATGAACAGATTTCCAGAAAACAGTGCAGACTACAGGAACCATTTGCACTTCACTTTGTGATTCAGACAACACAGACTCATCCCCAACAAACTGTGCCTGTCTTCAACAGTGAGGGGACACAGGGCAGAAAACATCCTGCAGCACCCATCTGCACCGCTCAGGTGACCCTGAGGACACAGGTAAAACCTCCAAGTGGCCTCAACGACTCTCTAAAAGAAGGCAAATGACCAGCTGTCTGCAAGGAATATAAATCCTTCCATTCCCCACCCTCCAGTCAGAGCTGAAGAAGCTTCTTGGAGGAGAAGCAAAATGTCTTCAAAGAAAAACAAGAAAGTCCAGTTACCTCTTGAAAAAGCACCTTTGGGATTTCCAAAGGAGAATGTTTAAAGTTAAAAAGAAAAAGTACCTCCACTCACCCAGCGTGATTCTATTTTAATCCTTACCCAATCTGCCTAAAAGCATTTGTCCCGTGTCTTTTATCTCATTGTATTCATGAAGCAGAGAAATGTGGTTTTCCAATTCCTCCAGGCTGTATCCTCTGGGGAAAAAAAAAGGTAAGAAAAGTTAAGACAATCCAGAAGTGTGATTCTTAAGAGCTGTTAAGAGATTCAAGAAAAATTATTTATGACTCTATATGTATTCTCCTGTCTTCTAGTAACCCCAGCCTTGCTTAAATTAATAACAGGTGCCAAACCCCATTCCCGAGATACTGGAACTTTAAAATATTCCACTTTATTCACTAGTCTGTGGCAATCTGGCTTTGCTGGGGTCATCCAATGGTTCTTCAAAAGCTTTGTGGAAAACAGCCTCTCACCCCCTGCCCCCCCCCCAAATTTACCAGAGGGGGGAAAATGGTTTTGGAGTTATCCAAAGCAATCCATTCCCCAAATAGTATGTTCGGCCTGTGTACATTAACTCAATGGTTGTGAAAGTTGGACCCTAAGAAAGGCTGAGTGCCAAAGAATGGAGGTCTTTGAACTATGGTGCTGGAGAAAACTCCTGCGAGTCCCCTGGACTGCAAGGCGATCAAACCGGTCAGTCCTAGAGGAGATCAACCTTGACTGCTCTTTAGAAGGCCAGATCCTGAAGTTGAAACTCAGGTACTTTGGCCATCTAAGGAGAAGGAAGGACTCACTGGAGAAGAGCCTAATGCTGGGAAAGATGGAGAGCAATAGAAGAAGGGGACGACAAAGAACGAGGTGGCTGGATGGAGTCACTGAAGGCGTGAGCTTCAATGGACTCCAGAAGATGGTAGAGGACAGGAAGGCCTGGAGGAATGTTGTCCATGGAGTCGCGATGGGTTGGACACGACTTCGCAACTAACAACAACAACAACTCAACTTTCCTCCTGAAGAAATTGCTGCAGTCAAGTTGCGATTGCCCAACCACACAATCTGAAACAGATGTCTTATTGTATGCGAAACATTTATAAATACGCACTCAGCCTTGATTTGTGCTATTTCCTGATCCAGAGCAAGTTCCTTGTGTTTTAGCTCTTCAATTTCATGCTGCAGGACGTCCTTATCGGCAGGCTGACAGCTCTTCGGAGGAAGAACCTGTTGAGCAGAGAAAGACAACACCATGTTAAACATTTTTACCATTTCAGTACTGAGGGTGAGATTCTAGAATAGCTTCAGAGCTATCAGGAGTTGGGATGGGGGGATGAACACCACAAAGACAGAGCCAAAATCTACTCGGTCCTATGTAGTATGTATCTATTGCCAAGAAAATGGATAATTTTTACTCTGAAAAACGTTATTCCACCCTCTCTCCAGCTTTCCTGACAATATCAAGGCTATCAAAATAATATTTTTTTTCCTTATAAAAAATAAGTCGAGACTCCAAGCGATCCTATTTACATGCAAAAGATTTGCATATCCTGCAAAAAGATTCTTAGCTTGAAACTTGCCCTGTTCGCTAAAAATCCAACCCAACCGATAATATCTCATGGGTTTACAGCTTAGCGTTGTCTAAGAAGATGAAATCAAGAGTCTCCAAAAATTGATACGATTTAAAAAATTGATACGATTTAATCTTATGAATACAAAGCAATACAGAGCCAATCAGCCTGTGTAAACTTATTTTGACCTGTTGAATGTAACTTTTAGTCCTGCTTGGTTTACAACCAAGAGATTAACAACCAGGATCCTGGCCACGTTATCAGAATCAGCTAAAGAGGTTTTTCTCAAGGAATCTGGACTACAATTGTGGGTTTCCAATCTAGATTGCTTCCTACGTTCCTAGAATATCAGACACATTCTATAGATCAGACATGTCAAACACAAGGCCCGGGGGCCGGATGCGGCCCGCGAAGTGGTTTCATGTGGCCCACGAAGCCATCCTGGAAACAGTGAGGGAACGGCCTCCGCTGCCTTGGCCCTGGCCCAGGCCGGCCAGGAGCCAATGTACAATTTTGTGGTGGCCATCTAGGCTGAAACGCATTCAGTCTTAGCTCCACAAGGCCGTCTAGAAATAGCGAGGAACCAGCCCCTGCCGTGTCGCCCCTGCCCCCTGGGTGCATGCTGGGGAGGGGTCACCCTTTGTGAGGAATGAAGAAATGGAACCATGCCTTAGCGCTTGCCCCGGTCCCCCCCCCTTCTGCCAGAGACCCTCAGATCTGTCCCACTCCTGCCCAGGCTCCCACAGGCATCCTTGACGCAAACGATGTAGAGCTGGCCATGCTGGCCAGTAGGCCACACCCACTCCATCCACACCCACCCAGTACGCCGTACCCACTCTGGCCACACACCCCCCAGGGCAACCGCAATGCTGATGCGGCCCTCAATGAAATTGAGTTTGACACCCCTGCTATAGATGAATGAAAGATTTCATTTTGCAGACACTTACCGGAGACTTAAAGCTTGCATTACAACTTCTCCGGGCTGCTTGAGATGTCCTGAATTAAAAAGAAAGGAAAAAAAAAGGTTAAGAAAAGAATTTGAAAGTTCTTCAAATGAGTCATGACAAACCTGAATCCTCACGTTAGCCAAGAAATGAATTACAGTGCAAGATTTAAACCGTTCTTACCTCCAGGTTAAAGGTTTGGGGGAGATTTTCCCCCTTGGTCCCAGGTTCTGCTTGCCCCCTTGATTCAAAGGGGATTCATGTTCTTGTTTAGCCAGAATGTCTTCCAGGCCAGGGGTAGAACTGCAGTCCACAACTTCCTTTCCCTTCTGCATCTGGGGATTCAGTCGTCAGGGGAACGGAAAGAATAAATGGATTTTTGCAGTTCACGTGCGTGTGTAATTCATAAGCATCTTGGTTGCTGGGTTGCAGTCTGAAAGCTGGAGATTTGTCGGCCTATTTCATGCAGGAAGTGTGTTCTGCCAAAGCTGTGACATAAAAAGATTGCAATTTGTTTGAAAACTGTAAGGATTTAAAAATAAAACACAAGAAAACAATGGCCAAGGGACAAGGGATTTAAACATAATGGACATAATAGAGGCCAGCAAGGCAAACAGACTAAAAACCACAGACAGAAAGTCAAGTTCCTTCAAAAAAAATTGCAAGGCAAGCATCATACTAAAAACCAAATTTAGACCTTGTTAAACTAGGAGTTAGTGTTAGGAATAACTGGGGAGCTTTGGAATAATAATGACATCCATGATAAGGTGGTGCCTAAAAAGTCAATGAAGGATTTAACCCTGGTTAAATCTGTATTATGGATTCCTCCACTATTAGGTGAAATCTCTATGGAGATTCTCAAGTTATCCGGGTCATAGTTATCCCAAAGATGCTTTTTCACGAGGCAACTGGACTTTCTTGTTTTTCTTTGAAGACGTTTCGCTTCTCATCCAAAAGAAGCTTCTTCAGCATCCAGTCAGAGCTGAAGAAGCTTCTTGGACGAGAAGCGAAACGTCTTCAAAGAAAAACAAGAAAGTCCAGTTGCCTCGTGAAAAAGCATCTTTGGGATATTAGGTGAAACGTTGCACCCTTACACTAATAAAAATAATAATTTATTCAATGTATCCGCTGCCCAACTCCCGCCTTTTCCATCTAGAGTAGACCCTGCCTTTCTTTTTCCAGCAGTTTCCTTTGCATTTGGAAAAGCACCTTGAAAATTCAACCCAGCAAGAGTTGAATATTCTGCAACGCTCTTCTATGACACGCAAGCTGCAGGCTAGTGCAACTTGGGTTGCGTCCTGGCAGACTTGGGGTGGCTCAACTCTAGGAGAAAAAACATGTTCTTTTTATGAGGTCCCTTCCCAATCCTGTTCTTTTGTGAGCCAACCTGATTACAGAATGACTCAGTGGGAAGGGACCTAAAGCACCAGCCATCTGGCAGATGTTGCCTTGCCTTGGTTAGCTAAGCCGGCTTGCAAAAGGGCTGCTCCGAATTACTTAGAGGGGATTTTGAGGTTGCTTTTTGGGGAAAAAAAAGTTTTGAAAGGGGTGCTGACAAAGCTGTGAACATGCATCCCTTGGCTTCCCCCTGCCTAAGCCACTGTGGAAGGCAAAAACCACCTGCCAACGATTCCACAAAACCATATATATATTGAATATATAATACATTTGTGGAAAGCAGCCCTGCAGGTTGAACCTGACATGGTTCAAAGAGAACCTTAAAAATGGGATTTTCCAGTTAAGCTCAGCAAGCAGCTTCTTCACAAAAGCTCTTGATTTGGGGGGGGGGTCATTGCAAAGCTGCAATCCCCTTCCCCAATGTTACCCCCCCCACACCTGCCTCCAGGGCAAAGGGACTCCATCCCCCATCTGGTCAGGTTGGGAATGATGGGAGCTGGAGTGCAGGAACTCACAGGTCCCCACAGCCCCCTGAAGAGCTCTGTTGAGTCTCCAAGCTTGCCCTGCTCCTGCTCTGCGGATGATGGGCAAGATAGCTCCGGCGCTGGGGAGCTGTGGGTTTCCCCCCCACACACACTACCTCCAATCCCAGCTCCCATCATCCCCAGCCTGACTCCTGCTGGACTTCCCCCCGCCGTTTCCCTTGAGTCTTTTTTATCCTTCTTTTTTAAAACAACAACAACAACCCCTTTCTCATTGCATCATTATACGTGAGGAAAAAGAAGCATACATTTCTAAAGGAAAAATAAAAAGAGCCAAGAAGCCAGAGAAGGGCGGCCATTAAAGGCGGACAGGAGAGGGGCGCATGCGCCTCGCCGCCGCGCCTGCGCAGAGCAGCCGGACGCGTCTCGAGCCCTGCCTCGCGGGCGGCAAGGGCGGGGCCTCCCCGCCTCCCTCCCGCCCATTGGCCCCACGGCAGCCCCGCCCCGCCCGCTGGCAGCCTCCCCGCGCGTGCGCAGTAGCGGAGTGGCGGAGCTAGGCCCGGCGGCGGGAGGAGCCTCGGTCCGGCCCAGCCGCTTCGCCTTGCGCCGCCTGCCGGGTTGACGTGGCCGGGCCCGGCGCGGAGATGGCGGACGACAGCAGGCAGAACAAGCTGGCGGCGGCCAAGAAGAAGGTAAGCGGGCGGCGGGAGGCGTGAGCGGCCGGCCCGGGCTGCGTCTGAGGCGGCGGGGCCTAGTCCGGGCCTGGCCTGGCTTCCTAAGAGCCGCCCTCCGCCCCGGGCCCTGAGGGAGAGACGACGCCCACCCTCCCGGTCTGCTTTTTCTCCGACCTCCACACACACCCATACCCCGGTCGCACTACAAGCCCCATCCTCCCCAGCTTCGGGGACTACAACTCCCATCCTCCCCCCCCCGCGGGCCTGATCGCTCCTGGGAACGAGGGGGCAGGGCCGGGCTGTTCGTCCCGGAGGTTTTCTGCGGATGCTGGAGGGACAGCTCCCCCCCGGGGAGCGTGGCCTTTTGGGGGGTGGGTGGAGGCTGATGGGACTTGTAGTCCAAGGCGGAGGCTGGGGGGGAGTCCTGGGTTGGGGGGTGTTGGCAGATAGGTTTGGGGTGCTTTCATGGGCGCCTGCGGAGGTGGAGGAGGAGGAGGAGGGAAGGGTCGGTCTTAGGCCGGCGATGCCGTCGGGGGACCCTCCCCCTAAATCGGCCCCCTCCTCTGGGATCCGGTAGATCTCTTTGCAAAGGTGGGGGAGAAACCATTGGAGGGGGTGGAGGCTGGTGGAAGTTGTAGTCAAAGGGGTGTGTGTGGGGGGGAGGATGTTGCTTTTATGGGTGCCTGCAGAGGTGAAGTTGGGGGACCCTCCCCAATAAATCAGCCCCCCTCCTCTGGGATCAGATAGATCCCTTTGCAAACCTGGGAGAGAAGCCCCCTCCAGATGAAGCTTGGAAAAGGGGGGGGGGTTTCTTGCAAAGGCACTTCTAGGCCTTCTCTGGGGCTAAAAGTTTGACGCCCCCCCCCTGTCCCTTTATTTGCCTCTTTGCAAAGATGTGCCCAGTGTGCTTCCAGAGGGAGGAAGGACAACAAAAACCATAAATGGGGTTCCCAAAAGGGCTTCCCCTCATGATTTAATAGAAGGGAGCTGGGATACAAGCTGGTTAGTTTTGGGCAGGGGAGAAGATAAGACTGCTTTTGCTTCAAATATTTCCTTTACAATTTGGGGATCAAGAGCGGGGCAGAGAACTGCATCTTTTTAAACCTCAGTCAAACAGTCCTCAGCTTACGACCACATTTGGCACCTAAGCAAAGGGATTGTTAAGTAAGTCGCATCCGATTTTATGACAGTTGTTTGTTTTTTAACCATGATTGTTAAGCGAATCGTTGCACTTAAGTGAATTGACTTTGCTTCCGGGAAGTTATTCTAAAGCTTAGTTAGAATCTGTCACCAAATTCCTGAATTACGAGCGCAACGAAGCTCAAATTTTCTGCTGCTAAATGAAACCTTTGTTAAGTGAATTTTGTCCCATTTTACGACTTTTCTCGCCCCGGTTGTTACGTTAATCACTGCAGTCGTTAAGTTAGTAACCCGGATGTTAATTGAATCTGACTTCCCCATTGACTTTGCTTCTCAGAACCCCAGGACACTGCAACCGTCATAAATATGAGTCAGTAGCCAAAAGGAAAAAAAAAAAATCTGAATTTTGATCACGTGACTGTGGGGAATGTTGTGATGGCTGTTAAGCGTGAAAAACAGTCATAAGTCACTTTTTCCATTGAATGGTCACTAAATTAACTGTTGTAAGTCGAGGACTATCTGTATTATAATAATTTGGGGGGTGGTGTTCCTTTTGAAGGGTACCCTCCATAGGATAAATTTATAGTTTTATCCCCTGGATGTGTTCATGGCTAAACCGACAATACCCTGAAACCTAAAGGGCTGTAAACCAGGTGAATGTCTTATCAGGTGAGAGTTTTCCATGCCCAAAACTCCAGACATTTTTCCAAACTCCTGGATAAACTAGACAAACCCATCAGCTTATTTTGAGGCATTTTAGGAAGACTGGCCCTTTCATGTGGGCAGTGCTTTCTGAACTAAGGACGGGATCATCAGGAATGCCTCGAAAATCAGCCGTGCGTGTTTCTAAAAATTGGCCCTCGAAATCGGTCACTACAACGCCGAGGTAGTGAAATTGTCCCCTAATGTGTGAATAACAACTAAGATTAGCTCCCGGCCTCTTAGCAGAGGGTTTATTTAATGCGTGCCCTGCGTGGGTGGCTGACTTGTCTGTGCAAGACGGAAGATTCTAGAAAAAAATGGATTTTTGGCCTGATTTTATATCGTCTTCTCCTTGGGAAGAGTAGAACCCTACCTTAAGAGCCTGGGATATTTATTTTGTAAAAGGCCCAGTAAGCAAAGTAGAGAAATTTGTCAATATTTGACTTGACTCTCTGTAAGTCACGTGAGTTTCTTATCTTGCTGGCTGGCTGTTGAATGTAGGTGGTGAATTTCATTCAGCTTGGTGGGTAGCAACTTAATACTAAATTATCACTGGAAGTTTTTAAGAGGAGCTTGGACAAGCATGTGTCTGAAATGGTATAGAGTCGCCTGCTTGAAGCACTGGGCTGGACTAGAAGACCTCCAAGGTCCCTTCCAACTCTGTTATTTTGCTTTCCTTCCTTCCTTCCTTCCTTCCTTCCTTCCTTCCTTCCTTCCTTCCTTCCTTCCTTCCTTCCTCTTTTCCCCTCTTCCTCTCCCTCCCTCCCACATTATTGGAGGTTTTCAAGAACAGGTTGTATAGCCATTTGACTGGGATGGTATAAGATCATCTGCCTGAGCAGGGGGTTGGACTAGAAGACCTCCAAGGTCCCGTCCAACTCTGTTGTTCTATTCAGTTATGTCTGGTGATATTGGTGATAAACGGAAAGAGCCCTGCTTTTTTTCTGTGTCTTGTGTCAAAGAAAGAGTTTAAAGTTAGCCTCCGCAAAATTTCAAGGACATGTTTGGTACAAGGATACCCTTGGCTTCAAACCAAAAGGAGTAAATCAAATAACAAGGTAGACTATTAGGGCGCTAAGTTGAGTATTTGTTGTCTGTGGCTGTGTTGCAACCTTGAGTCAAACAGTGTATGAGAAATATGTAAACGGTAGCAATCTTCTAACTATTCCATTTGGACTTTAATTTCAAATTCTGAATTGTAGGTAGAAATTGCCTCGTTTTAAGAAGAACAGGATGGGTTTCGATTCTTTTTTTCGGCTTATACGTAAAGGATTGCACATAGAATTGGAAAAAAATGCTTCAAATAGCGGACTCTTGAATATCTAGATAGCCGGATGTACTTAAATAGATTGTTTAAATACTTCTTTTAAAACGTTGCTGTGTGGGTTTCAACTAGTCTTCAGCAGACACATAGAAGTCCTCAACTTACAAAAGTTCATTTAATGACTTGTTCAAAGTTACAAAGGCATTGAAAAAAGTGACTTACGACCGTTTTTCATACTTGACTGTTGCAGCGTCACCAGGGTGACGTGATCAAAGTTGGGACACTTGGCAACTGACTCATATTTATGACCGTTGCTGTGTCCCAGGGTCACGTGATCCCCTTTTGCGACCTTCTGACAAGCAAAGTCAATGGGGGAAGTCAGATTCACTTAACAACCGGGTTACTAACTTAACACCTGCATTGATTCACTTCACGGCGGCATGCAAGGTCGTAAAATGGGGCAAAAATTCACGTAGCAACAGAAATTTTCGGGACAGTGGTGGTCATAAGTTGAGGGCTACCTTATTACAACCTTTTGGAGTGGGTGAGCTTAATCTAATAAATAAGAATACTAGGTTACACGATAAGGTAGAGTAAATGCCTTCAAAATTTGGATTGAAGGGTAATATCAGTTTCACACGTTGGGCAAAAAAAGGCTGTTTGAAGACTGTGTTGACTCCTTTATGAGCCAGTTTACGTTTTCCAAAATATATCTGGACATTTTCCCCTGCCACTTTTACTCTGGATGTGACAGGAAATGAGCTTGTGAAAGCCTGCGACCACATCATCGTTAAAACTGTTAAAATTTTATCTGACTAGAACCGATTAGGAAGTTTAACCTCACCAGCGGTTTTTCAAATTTAGTTAGTACGAACTCAGGGACAGCACCTGAATAATCAATCCATTCCATAATAACCACATCTTTTTCCTCCTCCTCCTCCTCCTCCTCCTCCTCCTCCTCCTCCTGGGGTACCTTTTTCTACCAGATTTTAATTTTGTTTGGAGACAGTTCCAACTTCAGATGAGTTTAATTTCAAACCGTTTTCCTTTTTTTTTCTCAGCTGAAAGAATATCAGCAGAAAAACAGCCCCGTGTCGGCAGTGGGGGCCAAAAAGAAACGGAGGAGTAAAGAAACAAGTCGCCCAGAGACGCCTGTTAATGATGGAGTACAATCTCCTGAAAATGTAAGTTTGCTTCCTGTCAACTGCTCCAATGTCAGTTGCTTCCTGGATTCCGCTTCAAATAGAACATGGCTGGCTCAGGAATTCTGGGAGTTGAAGTCCCCAGGTCCTAAAGGGGGGGCATGCCTGGCTCAGGAATTCTGGGAGTTGAAGTCCATAGTTGCCCACTCCTGAAGCAGATCTACCAGTTCCGAGCTGCTGATCTCCAGATGACCATTAGGTTGTGGCAAATTTAGAAGGCTCCCTCTGCGTGTCAGATCTTGGCCACCTTGCCGGCTTCAAGATGCGAGTTTTTCACCTTGTGTCGCTGATCCAAGTGCAGGGACTCCTCTACTTAGGACTATAACCGAGCCCCGAATTTCCTGTGGCTTAAGCGAGACAGTTGGTCCAGTGAGCTTTGCCCCCAATTTACGACTTTTCTGGCCACAGTTGGTAAAGGGAACCGCTGCAGTCGTTAAGCTGGCAACACGGTTGTTAAGTAAATTCGGCTTCCGCCGCTGACTTAGCCTGTCAGAAAGTCGCAAAAGGGGGAATCGCCTGTCCTCGAGACACTGTGAACGTCATAAATAGGAGCCGGTTGCCAAGCGTCTGAATTTTAATCGTGTGACCACAGGGACCGATCATAAGGGTGGAAAATGGTCATTTTCAGTGTCATGGTCACTTCAGACGGTCACTAAATGAACTGTTGTAAGTCAAGAACTGCCTGTGTGTGTTTTTCTTTCTTCTTCCTTCCTTCTTTCTTTCTTTCTTTCTTTCTTTCTTTCTTTCTTTCTTTCTTTCTTTCTTTCTTTCTTTCTTTCTTTCTTTCTTTCTTTCTTTCTTTCTTTCTTCTCTGTGGTGTTAAGAAACAACAGACCAAACTGAATGAACAGTTGCTTCCTGGGAAGTCAAGATAAAAGTGCCTCTCCTTTGTATTTGCCGCCAGAAACCACGTGCCAGCTGCCCAAAGGTGTTTTTTTTCAGGAGGCAACTGGACTTTCTTGTTTTTCTCTGAAGACCTTTCGCTTCTCCTCCCAGAAGCTTCTTCAGCTCTGACCGGATGGTGGGGAACGGAAGGATTTATACTCCTTGCAGACCGCTGGTCCTCTGCATCCTTCCCTTCCCCCACCATCCAGTCAGAGCCGAAGAAGCCTCTTGGATGGGAAGCGAAACGTCTTCGAAGAAAAACCAGAAAGTCCGGTTGCCTCCTGGAAAAAAAAACGCCTGGATGAGTGAGAATCTCCACAGACATGTGGCTGCAAGTTCCATCGTCTCCAGCGGCGCTTGCTTGCCTTCTTCACTTTTCCTGCCACGCTTCTTGGTCTCTCGTTCCTTTCGCTTCCGGGGATCGACGTTCTTTCCTGTCCCTTTTTTTTT